CAAAACGATAATATTTGATACATTTTAATTCTCATAAACTCCCCGTAAAAGGGTTTATTTGTTATATGTAGCTCTACTACACGTTTATGCAAAGTGTTGTAGTTTATCATGCCCTTCCTTACTGGTTTTTATTTTGAATTCTGAATGAAAGATGTAAAAATTAAATTAGTGTACAATACGAAATTAAATGGTGATCTTTCCTGACTGGAATTGACATCTAGGTTTTCAGCCCCAGAACTTTTACCGTTCCCCAGCTGGAAGATGTAAACACATTCAAACAAACAAAAATGACGGACACAGCTTCATGGGTCTCATTATAAAATGTGGGCATGCATCTACTATATCGGTTATGTCCATCCAATAATAACTCAAATGCAAAATTCATGGGGACTGCAATCAGTTAAATACCGAATATAAAGGGGTACTGCAATGTGCAGAGTATGCCAAATGGTAAAGCGAAGTAAAAATTTGTCAAGAAACGGGTTCATATTCTCTGAAACCTTCAAAATACTTAAATCGCTGCTACCGTTTTAAGTGGGACGTAATAACATTATGCAACAGACAATATGGGGTTTATGTAGGAAATTTTAAGTAGATAATACGGTTAGCAGATCAAAATCCCAAAAGCGTTTTGGGTTCCCAAGCCAAACTTTTTGGGCCAATTATGTAGCCTTAACCATACTCAAAGGGCTACAAATATGTTGCTGTGTAATTCGAAAAATGTATGATAAAGTTTAAATTTGATACATTCCTATGGGTCACGAGCCATGTCAGTCTCCGTTTTGGTATATTCCCCATATAAGAATACCCCGATTTGAAGAACTTTTAAATTGTATGCAATATTTTCCCCCTCATTTCAGTTATTTTCGGGGACTTGGCCAAATTTTTAAATTTAAGAAATTACAATCTGGCAACAACTAACGGCCTTATGCCGATTTGTCAAAGATGCCATATTTTCTTTTCGCCATTTCCTGACATTTCAACAATCAAACTCAAAAATCAAACTTTATATTATTATTGGCGCCTAACGAAAACTGTTTGCATTATATTAACAACAAAAAGTGGAAAACACGTGGAAAAGGTTGTAAATCGAGATTATTATTAGAAATAAAAGTATTGTTAAACGTTGTAAATTTTCTCTTGGGTGAATATGTAGTGTCTTTTAATCTAGTTTTTGTTTTTGGCCGTGTGTTTTTGGGGTAAAAATTTCGGTATTGGCTCGTATTTTGGAAGTAAGAAAATATCATAAAGCGTTCTATTATATATTTTAAAAAATAGCCCGCCCCAACTTGCACCTTTTCAAAAAAACCATTTTCAAGTAGTTTAACGCTAAAAAATCCGCGATAACCCACAAATGTAATTAACTAGATTTCCGCAATATGTGGATTATATATTATCGGCAAATAGTTTACGACCGTGAAAAAGCTAACTAAAAACATTTATGTACAAACTAACCTAAAGCGGCTGAGAAACAAAGGGCCAAAAGCATTTGTCAGAGTCTGCAAGTTAGTATATTCATATGTACAGCAGTTTCTAAACAATCAAAATGATTGTGTTTACTTGCCAAAGAGATCAGCTAAATTGGCACCTTCGGTTGGCCACCAGAACTCACGCGCCGACCATGGTGTGTGGTAAGTGCCAAATATTATCGCGAGAATATTTTGGAGGGTGTATTAAAGTCTTGGGCACGCAAACATTTTGGCCGCAGACCTTGGACATTCTTACAGGACTTAGCACCATCGCTCTCAGCACGCTTAATTTCCAGCACACAATGATCACCAAAATCTCCGAATACCAATCCGTTCGACTATTGTGTCTGGAGTATTTTGGAAAGCAAGGTTGACACTAAAAAATACCAAAGATCACCTCAAGCAAGCGCTTTGACGGGAATGGGCAAAAATACCGCAGAGCAACATCCGGACAGCGTGTGACGGTTTCATTGGCCATTTGAAGGCCATAAATTATGGCGTTTGATTTTGTTGCAGTTATTTTTTTATCTCATCCTATATATTATGACTTTAAGAAGACTTAGATATAAAATCGCATGAAGCATTTATATGAAGAAATTAGGAAAAGTAATTGATTATAGTGTGATCCAAGACACAACCTAATTAGACAAAAATAGCACGGTTGGTGTATCATTAAAAAAAAAATTAAGGGAATATATATGGGAGCTATATGAAAATCTTAATTGTTTTCTGCGAAATTTGTCAAAAGTGTTTCTAAGCTGTATCTGATACCTTGTACTACACTTCCATGTAACCCGCCAATAATTTCAGTTCTTAAGAAATCAAGTCAATTAAATAAATGGGTGTTAATATTCGAATTCAAAAATAAAATAAAAAAAAAAAAAACTACAAATGTATATTAGAAAAAAGTAAGCCAAAATGGAAAAAAATCATGCAAAATAATTACATTATCCTTTTCGGACAGAAGACAATTCCGAATTTGTATGAATCGTTAACATCATATATATATATATATATATATATATATCTATATATGTATAAAAGAAACTTGAGTTAGTTACTGCGTTTATAACTTAAGAATCGTTGGACTGATGTTAACGATTCATACAAATTCGGAATTGTCTTCTGTCCGAAAAGGATAATGTACAATAGTAACGTTTTATTTTGCATGATTTTTTTCCATTTTGGCTTACTTTTTTCTAATATACATTTGTAGTTTTTTTTTATATTTTATTTTTGAATTCGAATATTAACACCCATTTATTTAATTGACTTGATTTCTTAAGAACTGAAATTATTGGCGGGTTACATGGAAGTGTAGTACCGAATTATGTGGTGGCGAAATTAAATAGAAGATATCGAAATAAATTAACGCGGTCACACCGAAGTTAAAAGATAATTACTTTTTCAAAATCGCTAAAAAATCACGAAAAAGACATCTCATTGCAAAAATTTTCAAATCGGGAAAAAAAATCGAAAAAATGTCAATGGAATCGAATTTTAAAATAATAGTACATTCTATTAACTTTGTAAGGATCTTTAAACATTTGCCGTAAAAAATCAGCAAAGTTGAAGATTCTTTCAATTTGTTATTGTTTTTTTTTTTTTGTTAATTTTTTTTCAAATTGTATAATCATATTGAATTCAGTGGATTTTTTGTGAACAAAATAAAGAATAATTTTTCGCTATATACATATTTTCAAAAAAAAAAAAAAATGAAATAAGTGCGAAATAGGATTTTAAGATGTCAGTTAACCTTTCAACTCCAGGGCCTACATCGTAGTTCAGCTGGAAGATGCGAAAACATTAAAACAAACAAAAATTACCGAAAAAAGCCTAATAGGGCTCATTTTAAAGCGTGGACCTACTTCTTTCATGTGACAATAATCCGTCCAATGAGAGCTCAAAATGCAAAATTCTTTGGGAATACGATCAGTAAAATACCAAATTTAAAGGGTGCAAAATAGTAGAGCGAATGTGACTTTTAGTAAGAAAAGGATTTCTATCCTTCCAAAAATTCTTGCCAAACATTCAAGATACCTTAAATTGCTTTTGCAGGTCATGATATCGATCATAACTCACGGATAAGGGTACAACCCGATTTCATATTCATTTAACCATCGTATGATTTAAGCTGTTTTCGTTGTTTTGGACACTTTTTTCATTTTTTGGCATCTTGTTTCTAAGGGGGTAGAGAACCTCTTCGCATACAATTTGAAATTTTCAGAGTTTGGTCCATATTGGTCTTGATCACATTCATCAATTGATTTGGCTAAAAATTGTATTTATGCTACCCTGTGGTAGGGAACCATACATATAATTGCCACATAGGAATTTATATAAGTAAAGTCCCCACATTGGAGTATCCCCTAATCCACTTTCACATTTAATGTGTTGTCAGAGATTTTGTATTCTATTGAATTTGTAACCCCCATTAGAATATTGGTTGGGAACGTAGATTTGGGAGGTACAGCTATATGAAATAAATTGTGAAAACATGAACAAATTACAAATATAAGAAAGTAGCACGGGACCGAATATTTGTTTAATCGCCATTGAAATACACTATGATGAAAAATATGGACTTTATGGAGTCTCCAACTTACAATTTAAATGGCAAATAAAATTAATTCCCATCTTACGGTAATGGGTGTAAAATAACTTTATTTTTGATTTGGCCTCTATTTGTCATCTTGGATTATAAGGGGTAGAAGAAAGTTTTCAATGTAGGTCGATGTTTCGGAAGGTACCTCCTGATTTTACCATATTTCAAAGGATTTGGCTAAAAATGTGTATTTGGGGGTGGAATTTTCAACATATCTAGAAATTTTAGAATTTTCGCCATGAAATAGTACCCCCTCAAGTCCACCTTTTAGGGGGACTTATGAGGACTCTAATGCACAATCTGAGGTGCTAATGGGTTTAAAAAAGTAATTAACTTTGGCTATTCTTAAATCATTCAGCCCTCAATTATGAGGTGTACAAAATACAGTAAATTGCAAATTACTGCTCATTTGACTGGAAAACTTTTCTACGATTTTTACGATACTAAAAATTAATTTGATCCCTTACATGGGGATAAGATTGATATATACTTTTTAATGGATTTGTATAGCACATCCACATATTTAAAGTCCACGGTTTAAATATTGAAGCCCATGGCTTAAATATGGGTACAGGTATTTTAAAACACTTTTAATCGACCAGTACGTGAACAGTTATATCAATCATATCTGTGAATAATTATGCTTTGACAAATATGTATAATAGACAAAAAATACGGGCCGGCAACGCGGACCGGGCCAGCTAGTATACATATAAATGTTGTAATTTCCTTACATTGAATAATACTTTTTAGAGTGAAACCAAAGTTCTCATATTGAAATCTTATAACAATAACGTTAGATGTGTTTCTTTGTGGCCTGCTCATAGACCATAGTAAATACTAATGCCGCCTGAAAAAAATATTGATCCGATGTCTACTTAAATAACTGATTTCTGTGCAATCGCCAAATAATAAATATCGGAGTGTAATTGTTGCAATCGTGCTATAAAAAATTTATTTGAGTAAAAGCATAAATGTGTAGCAGGCTTAGTTCTAGTTACAAAACGATATTTTTTAAAATAAATAATACATAAAACATGAATTAATAATTATATTGAATATATTTGCAAATCGAATTACTAATCTAATCTAAATGATGTCCTATGTTTTTTTTTTTTTGTTTTTTTTTAATTGCTACTACTACATATCGTTGGGATCTTTATATCCATATTTCTGTTTCTTTCCCTTGTAATATTTATCGCCATTGCCATTTTTGTGGTATGACTTTTCATCTCGTTGCTGTTTTGGAGGCGGACAATAACAGGTACGTTTCTGTGAGTCCAAATAAGATTTACAGCCCAGAGTTATCGTTCCAGTGAATAACATTTTCGCCGCAGCCTTACAGCCTTTGATCATCAAATCTCCTGCTATTGATTTTTCATAAGTATCGCAATGTCGGTACAGGCATCGTTTAAAGTCTAGATCACATAGTTCTTTGTCGCTGTTGCAGGTGTCATAGCATATGTCGTGAGCATTGCAGCATGTTTCCATTTCAACAGCTGGCAAGTATTCTGTACTTATTCTAAGGCCAAGTGAACCACAGCCGTCGGAAGTGGGTGTATACAATTTATTTTGTACAGGACGAATCTCTGAAAATGAAAAAAATATATGTTTGTAAGTAATCCACATTAAATTATGTACATTTTTTAAAATTGTAGCACAATTTGTATTTAATTTGGTAGAGATCATAAAATAGATGACAATGACCTTAATCATTACGAACAAATTAAAAAGCGCCTAGGTTCGGCCAGGCCGAGCTTTTAATACCCTCTACTATTAGGAAGGAACTTAAAAATTAAAAAAAAAAGAAAATAAAAAAATTGGTAAAAAATATCGTTAAAATGAAACCCGTTTTATGGAGGGCTGTACGAAGCTGAGGACTTGCATAAGTAATTTGCGCTGTAGTGCCGATTTCGAACTACAAATACGAAATATAAAACAATTCCTGTGAATAATGTTGCTAATATCATCAAAATACCGAATATCGGGAGGTACCGTGGGCTCTACGAAGTCGTAGACCTGCATAAAAATTTTTCTGTTTTAAAATCCATTACTAACTTCAAATAGGTAATTTGAAACAATTCCAGTGAAAAATATCACTAAAATTATGAAAATGCCTAAAATAGGGAGGTATCGTTATATGGGGGCTGTACGAAGACGTGAGGCTACATAAGTAATTTTTTGTCATAGGTAGGTAGGTATACATTAGGATCTTCAAATACGAAATATGAAACAATTACGACAAATAACGTCGCTTAAATCAACAAAATATCGAACATGGGGAGACACCGTTGTATGGGGGCTATACGAAAACATGCACCAACATGGCCCACATTCGAACTAATACACAGGTGTGCAAAATTTTAGCCTTCTATCTCAATTCGTTTGAAAGCTAGGATGGTTACAACAGACAGATGGACAACGCTAAATCGACTTAGAATTTTACGCCGATCAAAAATATATAAACTTTGTTGGGTGTGACATGAGTATTTCTAGGAGTTACAAACGGAATGACAAAGTTAATATACCCTCCCTAGTATGGTGGAGGGTATAAAAAGTAGCAATCACTTACATTAAAATATAATATATTTAATATGATTGAATAAGAATAATAATAAGAATAAGGGCCCATCTAAAGAAGTGTCTCAGTCTATGAGCATTCAACATAAAAGTTAGAAGACCACCTCCGAAATTTAGAATAGAAATCTTTGAAACTTTCGCGGTGCTCTTGCGGGTCATTGCTTGCATTTAAACAGATAACGATCCCAAATTTGAATGGTAGTGAAAGGAAACAGACAATACATAATAGTACTGTGTTTGAGATCTGAAGCAAAATATTGAAATTTGTATGTAGATCAATGTTGGCGTGTAGCGATGAGACAAGGCTGGGTTTTCGGAAATTCGAACTTAAAATGTACTAAAAGGAAAGGATGATATTGGGCTTACTGTTAGTGTGTAGGGAAATTTGGTACCATTATGTGAACGGCTAAGGTAAAATTTTGACATTTGACCAAGTTTAGAAGGTAGGGTTGATATAAGGAGGTGTTTTTAAAAATGTGTGTTAAGTGTACGAACTGTACTAAGTGGTACTAAATTTCGTATATTTGGTTTTTGAAACGAAAGTAGCTGAAAATAGTTAATGTATGTCTGGTTCCACTAAAGTGAAGAAGTGATCTGAAAAATATGTACTCCAAGTTTACCAAAAGATCTAAATGGTAGTTAATTTGGTGAATACCACCAAAAACGAAGAGTGCTTAAAATCTGATATATGGACCCTGTTACTGTATGGGGTTGAGATTTGGAGGTGGCTTGGGAAACACGTACTAAAAAATATGAAACGTTTTAACATATTAAAGGAGTATTTAGAGTTTTCAGAGGGTTATTAATAATTATTTAAATTTTATGGTATTCACTTTAGCGCAGTTTGTAGGGATAGAGTTGAAATTATGCATTTTGTCATAAAGGCCACATTTTTCTGCTGCAGATGGTAGATCCCATTAAGAACTTTAAACACCGAATTTGAAACAATTTCATTAGGAAATATGGTTTAAATTATTAAAAAAGGTAATGCAGGGAGGTACCGCTACAAGGAATATATACGAAAACGTGGATCTCCGTAGACAATTTTCTGCACCAGAGGTTTAAAACAATTCCCTTAGAAAATGTGACTTGAATCGCCAAACTTCCGAATATCGATAGGTTCCATTATAAGGGGGTATCCATCTTCAAACTTAAAGTACCTGCAGATCAAAGGCAAAACTCTGAACTATTATAAAATAATTTTTGAGTTACCAACAAAATTTATTTGAACATTGCATATATATTTAGAACATGTCTCATGTCAGCGTACGGAAACGAACGAAATAAAATCGCAAATGTAATTTGTTCGTTTGTTTGGTAATCCAAACGAAGTAAAAGCACGAACGTTTGAATGTCATAAATACACAACTAATACGATTGCCCTAATGGTGTACATTCTAAATATTTTTATACCCTCCACCATACTATGGAGGGTATATTAATTTTGCAATTCCGTTTGTAACTCCTCGAAATACTCATGTCAGACCCAACAAAGTATATATATTCTTAATCAGCGTAAAATTCTAAGACGATTTAGCCATGTCTGTCTGTCTGTTGTAATCACGCTGTCTTTCGAACAAATTGAGATAGAAGGCTAAAATTTTGCACACATGTATATTTTGCCAGTAGGCAGGTTAAGTTCGTAAATGGGCCGTGTAGGCCCAAGTTATCATATAGCCCCCATATAACGGTACCTCCCGATATTCGCCGGAATTGTTTCAAATTTGGTATTTGAAGTTCGAAATGGATACTACAGCCTAAGACAGAAAATTGTCTGTGCAGGTCCACGTCTTTGTATAGCCCCCATATAACGGTACATCCCGATATTCGGTATTTCGATGATTTTAGCGACATTATTCACCGGAATAGTTTCAAATTTAGAATTTGAAGTTCGAAATGGATACAACAGCCTAAGACAGAAAATTGTCTGTGCGGGTCCACGTCTTCGTATAGCCCCCATATAACTGTACCTCCCGATATTTGGTATTTTGACGATTTTAGCGACATTTTTAATCAGAATTGTTCAAAATTTGGTATTTGAAGTTCGCAATTGATACTACAGCCTAAGACAGAAAACTGTCTGTGCAGGTCCACGTCTTCGTATAGGCCTCATATACCAGTACCTCCCTATATTCGGTATTTTGACGAGTTTAGGTACAACACTCACTGAAATTGTTTGAAATGTCGTATTTGAAGTTCGTAATGGATGCTACAGAATATGACAAAAAATTGTCTACGCAGGTTCAGGTCTTCGCACAGCTCCGATATAACGTTACCTCCCTGTATTCTATATTTTGATGATTTTAGCTACATTATTCACCGTTTATTTCAAGTTCCGAATTTGAATTTGGTAATGACTTATGACATATAATGCCTGTGTGGGTCCACGTCGTATAGGCACCAATATAACGGCAATATTCGGTATTTTTAAACTTTTACCAAAGTTTTTTCAGGATTTTATTTCCAAATTCGTTCCAAATGGTGGAGGGTATTCAAATTTCGGCCCGGCCGAACTTACTGCTTTTTAACTTGTTTTTTTATACCTTCTACCATAACGTGGTGGGTATATTAAGTTTGTCATTATGTTTGTAACTCATCGAAATAATCATTTTAGACACATCAAAGTATATATATATATATATATTCATGATCAGCGTAAAATTCTATTCCGTTTTAGCTATATCCATCCGTCTGTTTGGTACGTTTGCGTTTGGGATCTAAACTAAGATCAAGTTCGAAGATGAGCTATATCGGCTATCTTTTTCTTATAGCCCCCAAATAGACCCTTATTTTAAGCATTTCGACTTTCTGCGAATTTTTTAACGGATTTATTTGGAATTCCCCAATCCCTTGCAAACAACAGTTAATATAAGTCCACATTGTGGTATACCTCCCATATAACGATACCACCTTATATTCGGTATTACAATTTTTTCATCGGAATCTGAAATTTTGTATTTGAATATTCTAATGGGTGTCTACGCGAACAGCGTAAAATAAAAACAAATCCCTTTACTTTAATATCGTTTGTGTTTCGTTTCGTATTTCGAAACAAAAACAGAACGAAACGATTGCAAGCGTTTTATATAATTTATTTTCGTTCGCTGCAGCTGATAATATTGGTTGTGGAAGTGCACCGAAGAAATGTATCAACTCTTGATCCGCAGCATAAATTGACCTTAAACATATCGGTTCATGTGTGATTTTTGGGATTGTAAAATTTATAAAAACTAATTTGATTGGTAGCATCCTATCTCTGAAACCACTTGGGATTATGTGCATCATGTTTAAAAATAATATAAACAAACGACTGACTCTTTTCGGAAATTCGAACTTAAAATGTACTAAAAGTCCTAAAAGATACTAAATATGGTGTTATGTGAAAGGATAGATATTGATATTGGGCTCACTGTTAGTGTGTAGGGTTGATATTTGAAGGTGGTTTTGGAAACGTGTACTAATCATTTGATATTACGATTTGGTATTTCGCAAATAAGTCCACAAAAGTACGAAAAAGTACTAAATGGTATTAATGTTGTTTTTGGAAATTCAAACAATAAATGTACTAAAAGTACTAAAATTCACTAAATTGGGTACCATTATGGGAACGTTTAAGTTAAAATATTAACATTTGCCCAGGTTTGGAAGGTAGGGTTGATATAAGGAGGTGTTTCAAAAAATGTATGTTAAGTGTACGACGTTTGCAGTTCACCGGATTTAGTAAAGCAGGTAGATTTAAATCAATCCGTCATTAAAATTTTTATATGAAATAGGTCAACATTTCTATTAGAGCTTCTAGTTTTCATTTTTTCGCCAAAGTTGTCTTCTTCTTCTTTTATATCTATAAAAGAAAAAAAATGTTTGTGCGTTTGATTGTTTTGTTTTTTATTATTATTTACACTTTAAAACTGCTGAAGAGCTATTCCCGAGTATGTCCAAACATTCTACTGCATAGCCTAATAGTAACATAGGCTATATACCTTTTTGAAACTCCACTTGGAACGGGAGGTATAGCATCAGAATCGGGGTGTCTCCAAAAAAATGTAGCTTTTGTATGCAGATATCTATTGATCGACTACAGATATAGCCTTCAAATTAAGAGTGCGTAACGAATTTTGGAGCAAAAATAATGACAAGCTCTTCGTGTATGCGGACTAATTTTGGCATGTTCCTGCTTTTTTCATGGTCAGCTGTTCCTGGCATGCTCTCTCGTTTGTAGACCGAACGATTTGTTTGTTTACGAATTAAAGTATCACAATTTTTATACCCTACAACACTATGTGTTGGGGGTATTATAAGGTTGATTGGGCCAGAATTTATGTAACACCTCGAAATATTGGTTTCCCATATAGGAAAGTATATATGGATCTTCCTAGCTCGCCGAGCTGAGTCAATCTAGCTATGTATGTCCGTCCGTCCGTCTGTCCATGTTAATTTGTAATCACTCTACAGGTCGCAATTATGGCCCGATCTTCACGAAATTTAAAATGTAGGTGGGGTTAATGTCAAAATAGAACCCTATTTCTTTTGGAGATGATCGCCAAATGTTTAGGGGTTGAAATGTACCAAATACTGAAAAACTGTCGTATTTTGCAGTAGCTATACAGGTCGCAATTATAGACCAATCGACGCGGAATTTCGCATGTAGCTAGAGTTTAGGGCGGGGAAGAAGCCTACCAACTTGGATGGTCATCGGATAATAATTAGCGGCTAAAATAGACCATATCTTTTTTGTTGAAAAAATTCAAATTTTTTCATTAAACCGCGAATATTTTAAATCCCGGCGAAACCACAAAGCCATGACATGGTTACTTCTGATCTTTACATTGATGTTAAGATCCAACAAATCGAATATATAGCAAAATATGAGCGATATATATGTCTATCAAAGAAGATATGCTTGAAAGATCTATTTTATATCGAGAACGGCTGAACTGATTTCGACAGTTCTCATTAATTCAGAATGGCCTCTTGGCAGAAAAGAAAAAACGCCTAAAAAATCGCATAAAAACATCTCTCTAAAGATGAAAATATTGGTTTTGTAAATTTTCTCATATTTTTTCAATTTTGTCATATTTTTGGCATATTTTCATTTTGAATTAAACATTTGGTAATATTTCTACAGCTAAAAAAACTAAGTAGTTAGGATATCAATATATCATATACAGATCGCATTTATGGCCCGATCCTTACGAAATTTTGCATGGGGATAAGATCAGGGTCAGAATAGAAGCCTACTCTTTTTGGAGATGATCGCCATATATTTAGGGGTTGAAATGGACCAAAAAAACTGCAAAATTGTCAGCCGGTCGTAATTATCGCCAGATCCTCAGGCACATTTGAATGGGGGTTACCGGACATTGCAAAAGCCAAGCAATTTTGGATGGCCATCCAAAAATATTCAATGTGTGAAATAGTTTGCCAACTTTTGTCGACAAAATACGAAAATGTCCATTACGGTGACTTCTTGGAGAATTCACAAATACAGGAAAGACGCACTTCTGACTATTTCGTAACGCTGATTTAGTTGAATAATATAGTCAAATGGCTGTATCTCATATAGATGCGTTTCAGTCAAAAACCAATAATAAATGTTAATCTTTTGCCACTTCTGAGAGATTATGGGTCTTTGGGAAATATTGGTTCCAGATCTAGGAAGACCATTTACGTGCAACATCTACCAATAAATTGGAAATTAGCAAATTAGTTTAAGTTGCTATTATTCGAAAATTAGAGAACGAAACCTGATGGTTTTCTTTTATTATTTGTCACAATATCTTGTGGAATTCTTTCGAGTATCTCGCCTATATAAACTGTATCGTTTATTGTAGTGTTGTAGGGTATTCAACGGTCGGCCCCGCTCGACTGTAGCCTTTGCTTACTTATTTTTTTTAAATTCTTGAATTTTTGAATTCTTGAATTTAAATTCTTGAAATTGGTGCCTCCCCCACAAAACGTCAACATTTTCATAGAAAATAATTTACTTCATAAAACAAGAGAGGATCATCCAATTGTATTCCCATTTTGAAAATCCTAATATTTTCATCAGTGATAGATTGGGTGCAAAAATTTATAATATGAGCGCATACCATCAAGTAATTCCCCCACATAGGATCACAATTTTGAATAATCATAACTCTTATAAAATGTAAAAATAAGAGTCCGACTACACCTTCTAGTACTTCCGCAATAAATGCTCAACATTTTGTCTACTTATAATCCCTATATAATGAAAAATATCGGTCCACTCCGTCGTTACCATCATAATGAAAGGTAAACATTGTGTATAATAAATTCAAAATATACTTTATATACACTTTTAAAATTGTTTTTATTGATTAAGATTAATTTGTTGAAAAATGAGACTGCAAGCACATGCTGCCTATATACATCAAATCCGTTTTAAAACTATGACTAAAAAAACAAAATTGCCTTTAATCAAGCGGTACACTTATATGGAAGCTTATTTCATAGTGAACATATATAATACATTTTCAATAGCAAAATTTCTGCGGCTTGAATTATATTTTAGAAAAAAAATGTTATCAACGAAATGGTTAAACCGACATATGCTGATTAACAATGTATATAAATAGATTGTGGGGGCGTACGGTGTGTACTTCGAGGAATGCCAAACATAATACACGCTATAGTATGGTACATAATAAATTTATATTTTCCGATTTGGCTGAAATTTTCCACAAATCATTTGTTTGGCCCAAGGATTAGCCCTATTAAATTTGTTGAAAATAGGTCCAAATTAGAATATAGTTCCGATACCTATATTCATCCGATTTGGTGTTTAAGTATATATCTCTCCCAAATTTGATCGGTTCAGATCGTATGTGGCTTCCATATATATCTTCATCTGTGGTAATCAACTCAGAGTCGGACATACTTAACATATATTAGTTCCATCTAATGACAACTACTCCAAAGTCAAAGAGCGCGTTCAAAAAAAGTTCATTGTTGGTATGATCTACTTCACATGAATTCCCAATATAAACATTTATTTGTTACTAACTATGCATAGAATCATATTCTTTCTTTACTGATTTTGTTCGCACTGAACTGCCAATAGATGTGCATTTAGTCAGCAAAAATATCATTACATGACTCAAATGTTCAACTCGAGGACTTTCATCCCCAATACCATGCATGGACACATTCTTCATTACCGACATCTATTGGGTGTTCGTCGAACGAACATTAACATCTAAGCTTTCGTATTGAAAAAGGAGAAAAGATAAAAACAACAGTACTAATTCTTATTGGAACACGTTTTAGTCTGCTATTCAACCACGTAAGTGATGCAGTTAGGCCACATCGCTGTACAAGAGCTACAATTACCCAGGCAAATGTTTTGGATATAACACAGCTTCTATTTCACTGTTAAACTAACATTTTAGTACTGATAACCGACAGTTAATTAAGTATAAAAAGCTTTTGCTGGAATAAGTCAACGAAAACAGCTGATATCAAAGCACTGGATGTGTGAATATATGCTTGTATTGTAATTAAAGTAAAATAACAACAAATGAAACGTAAACAAATGACGTACATAGGTATGAATGTGTGTGTGTGGTGTCCGACAATGAGAAGATGAGCGATGTTGCTTAAAATAAACAAACAAGGGGGCACATCAAATTTATGACAGCTCACAAATTTCATTACGTTAAGGGATTTCGTGAATTCTCGCACAAATTTACGTAATTAAAGGAAACAACGTCATTAGTTTCATGCTTTGGAATGATACATACCCGGTCCTCCTTCCTCGGTTGGACATTTGAATACACATGTTTCCTCTACAGCAGCATCAAATACCTCATGAACAGTACGGAACTTTTTACTGAGGTAAATCAGGTTCGAGAACACATCTCCAAAAATGGCCTCTGCCGCAATAATAGCATCCCTTAGGTGGGCGATTGTGCTGGAACCGTAACCGGAATAGGCGTATGTAATGAATGTTAAAACATAAATTGCTATTTTCATATATGAAAAATTCATTCCGGCTATTTAATATTTTGTCAGCTCTATTTATCTTCTTCACTTATCTTTTGCGACTATTTTTACTTTCGTTGCATGGGGCGGCAGGCAATATTTGACTAATTTGTGCGCTTTTTGTTTGCAGCACCGTTCAACAGCTGTGTCCATTGTTTTTCACCAGCAAAAGTTTAATTGTATATTCACCACGAAAAAGTTTTTATTTGTTGAAGCTCTCATGAAAATACTGTTATTTTTAAAATCGAAAAACGAATAACTATTAAAATAATTTTTCTGATTTGGACAATTTTCTGCATTGAAGGGTATATTAACTTCTAACTTATGAGTTGGTGGAAAATTTTACCCTCCCTTCATATTTTCTTGAAATCGTGAGTAAAATGTTGTTTTAATTGAAGATATATTAATTTAAAGTATACAAGTTTATACTTATAAAAATAATAATTACCAAAAAATATTTTCAGACAATTTTTTTTGTAATGTTTAGAGGGGTAAAATTTTTCACCAAGTTATAAAATGTGTCACCTCACCAGTTAAAGATTAAGTTTGTCATTCCGTCTGTAACTCTTTGAAGTAAGCTTTTTATACCCCACAGATTGTTTATATTCTTGATCAGCATTAAATTCAATATCCGTCTGTCTGTCCGTCCGTCAGTGGAAATGACTCAAGCTTCCGAACGAAATGTATTATATATATATACTAGGTGGCCCGGTCCGCGTTGCCGGCCCGTACTTTTAGTCTTTAACGTATATGTTTTTAAGCATAATAAATCGCAGAGCTGAGTTATTTAAGTGGCACAATTTTTATTATAAGTAATAATTCCATAGTAATCTCTAAATAGAAATAAATATTCATGGCAAGAATTATTATCTACCGTTGGTTTTAGATATTTTGAATGATCTGAGCATATTTTTCAGCTATGTGCTTTAATTAAAGTTTCAACAGCCTGTATGATGTAGAACATCTATAATAGCTCCATGTGAAAACTCAGCTCAATTTTTGGTAATGCAAAGAGCTTGGCAACATTTTCTATTAAAATTAGCTATAATTTGGAATGTTTAGAATATCGTTCTGCGTGGTATTTAGTTTTGTCCACCTCATAATTGAGGGCAGAATGATTTCAGAATAGTCAAAATAATTACTCTTTTACATCCATTACCGTAAGAACATTTTTAATTTTTTTGTCACTTAAAATATTCAATATTCAAATTCAATGACTATTAAACAAATGTTCGGTGCAGCCACAATGTGACTGCCACAATTTCCGACTGAATGAGTCCCATTTTGACATTTTGGAGTTTATTTCATATAGACGTACATCCCAAATCTACCTTCCGAATCAATGTTCTCTTGGAGGTTACCAATTCAATAGAATATAACATTTTTTTCCTGACCACACATTGGAAAGTGGACTTGGGTGTACACATAATGTGGGGACTACACTTAAATAAATACCTACGTAGACAATTATCTATAAGATGGTTTTCTACCCTAGCCTAAATAATATTTTTTAGCCAAATCAATTGATGAACGTGGTCAAGACTAAGATGGGCCCTACTCCGAAAATTGACAATTTTATACGAATAGGGTTTCTACTCCCTTAGAAACAAAGATGCCAAATAAAGTCCAAAAAATGGCCAAGACCCCGAAAATAGCTTAAACCATATGATGTTTATACCAAAACGTGATCATATTTCTCAAATTACCAACATTTGTCGAAATTAGTATGAAAGATATGCTTAAAATGTAAAATATATTTGAAATCGGGTTTTACCCTTATCCTGGGGTTATGACCCGTATCATGACCTGTAAGAGCGATTAAAGGTATCTTGAAAGATTAGGAAGAAATCCATTTCTACTATTTTGCACCACTTATATTCGGTATTTCACTAATTGCAGTCACAATGAATTTTGCATTTTGAGTTCTCATGGGACGGATTTTTGTCATATCCAAGAAGTAGGTCCACGTTTAGAAATGAGCCCCATAACGCTTTGTCGGTCATTTTTGTTTGTTTAAATGTGTTCGCGTGAAAGCTAAATGTCAATAAATGTCAATAATATCGTATTGCGTACCATCAAAAATTGTATGAACTCTTAAAATCCGTCAAGCCGTTCTTGAATTATAAGCATAGTAACTTACATACTTTCTTTTATATGGGGAAAATATTTTTTTGTACAAAAAAAAAAAACGATTCAATTCAATATGATATGATATATAAATTTGACAAAAAAAAAAATAAATTGAAACCAGTAAAGAAAGTCTTAAAGTCGGGCGGGGCCGACTTTATGATACCCTACACCACTTTGCTAATTAAGTAGAGCTCCACATAACAATTAAAAGTTTTTATGGGAGAATTCAATCCTACACGCTATGATTATAATTTTAATTTAAAGTTCAAAGGACTAAATATGCCTAAGCATTGGTATCTTTTAAATTCGGAATTGTATTGCCCATTTGGTGCACAATTAATTTGAAATCGGATAAAGATATATATGGGAGCTATATCCAAATCTGAACCGATCTCGATAAAATTTGGCAAAAATATTTCTGAGCTGTATTTGATATATTTCCCTGAATATGCAGTGCATATTACGGTTGTGGGTAACAAATATAACAAATCGGATGAATAATATATATGGAAGCTATAGCTATATCTGAACCGATCTTCACCAAATTTGACATACTAGCTTCTGGACTCAATTCGGTCGTAAGTGCCAAATTCCATCCCATTTGGACAAATATTAGACGTTTGGTGCACAATAAAAGGTAAATCGGACGAAGTTATATATGGGAGCTATATCCAAATCTGAACCGATTTCGATCAAATTTGGCATACATATTTTCAGGCCTAATTTGGATGTATATGCAAAATTCCATACAATTCGGGCTGATATTACACGTTTGGTGCACAATAAAAGGCAAATCGGACGAAGATATATATGGGAGCTATATCAAAATTTTGACCGATTATCTCCAATTTCAATAGGGTTCGTCCAAACAAAAGATCTTTGCAAAATTTCATCTGGATCGGGCAATAAATGCGACCTGTACTTTGTTTACAAAAATACATGGACAGACGGACGGACATGCATAAATCGACTCAGAATGTGATTCTATGCAGATCATCAAAAGGAACTATGGGTCTATCTCGTTTCCTTCTGCCTGTTACAAACAAATGCACAAAGACATAATACCCTGACCACCTTGTGGTGTAGGGTATAAAAAGAAAAAATCTTCAACTTATTTGCTGATGTTTTACAGCGAATGTTTAGGTCCTTACGAAATTCGTCAATAGAATGTACTATTATTTTGAAATTCGATTACATTAATATTTTTTTAGTTTTTCCCCGATTTTAGAATTTTTGTAATGAGATGACCTTTTTGGTGATTTTTTATCGATTTTAAAAAAGTAATTAAAATATTGGATTTTTGTTCGTACCTTAATATCTTCTTAAATGATATTATTCGTATAATTCCACTTACCGAAAAAAAAACATAAGATCTATAATTATCAGTTTTGTCCGTTTATACTCCCCAAAAAGACTACACATCATATTAGAATTGAAAAAAAAAAAAAACACTACAAATGTACATTCGAAAATAGCAAGTCAAATTGAAAAAAAAAAAATCATGCAATATAAAACAATACTATTGTACATTTCAAAAGTCAAAATGAAAATTTTAAAATTTCACTTTTTTACGAATTTTTTTTGGATTTTATCCTTTTCTGTCAAGAGACAATTCCGAATTTGTCTGAATCGTTAAAGTCAGATAAGCGGTTATTGAGTTATAAGCGTAGAAACTAACACAACCTTCTTTTGTACATATTGATATATTTAGACTAATAAGTAGGAGTGGTTAGTTCCTTAGCCCCCAAATAAATATTTAGAGTTGGATATCTCCATTATTTTGGCAAATATAAGGATTTTAGGATTTTACCAACGAACAACAATTGATTTGTATATATATATATATATATATATATATATATATATATATATATATATATATATATATATATATATATATATATATATATATATATATATATATATATATATATATATATATATATATAATTATGTTCTGTTTGAATATTAGACCTCGACACTTTAGAACTGAGGAGGGTATTCAAAGTTCTGACCTTTACGACATACCCACTCTAATGTTTATACATAAAAAATGTCGTAAAGGTCAGTGTTAATATGAGAAAAACTACAAATACTAAAGAACTTCTGAAAATAGCTGAAGAGTTATTATTCCTTTAGGGACATTTGTTGATGACAGCAAAGCGTGTGGCTGAGAATATGACGAATAGTGGCGTTGGTGCAGATACTTATGCATGATGACTGCTTGCCCATTTCATAATGATTCCACATGCACTCATATGCACACTCATCGTCATTAAAATAGTTTTTTTTTTTGCTGTGAACATAATAATCTCTTCGGCCAAAATTAATTTTAATTGTTCCAGAAAATTAGCATTACACAAGATAGAAGCATTTAAACAGCCTACTAATAAATTGTGATATCCTAAAGCAGATTATGAATATTTTGTGTGATATCTATATATCCTCAATTATTTATAAAAATTATGCGACGAGATATTTTCATTTAATTGGTTTTTTTTTTTCATTTTTAAAATAAGTTGAATGTGAGTGGAATCGAATGTCAATTTCGCGTTTTATGAGCTTTATGGACATTCAAAATGTTGACCATTTGTGGGGGAGGTACCAGAAGGAGTGGACCGATATATTCCATCTTCACACCAGACCTTGAATTAATAAAAAATATTGTGATGTGTGTAATTTGAAGACAATCCGACTTTTACATCACATTTTATAAGAGTTATAATTATTCAAAACTTTGATCCTTTGTGAGTGAGGTATTTGATGGAGTGGGCCGACCTTTTGTGGGGTGGTACCAGAAGGATATTGATCGATATTGCTCATCTCCGAACTCGATCTGAGTTTGGTTATAATATTACGATGTACCAAGTTTGGATGCCTTATACTCCCCAAAAAGACTACACATCATATTAGAATTGAAAAAAAAAAAAAAACACTACAAATGTACATTCGAAAATAGCAAGTCAAATTGAAAAAAAAAAATCATGCA